CCTTATAGGCTAAGGATTTTGTTTACACCTACCTAAAGGCTAATGCAAACTACACGATTTTCAGCGTCGGCTGATGGCTGTGCGGTTTACACTACACAACTTGCCGTCTTGTGACGGGAGTCTTGAAGCCGTGGAATTCACACTACGTGACTGATCGCTGACAAGGGGTCATACACTACATGAGCTGACAGTGCCTGTGTCACCCGACTCCAAACCATGTTTTGTCAAAGAAACACACGTGAAATGATGTGGACACAAGAAACAGTGGTTGTTTGTTACTATCCATCCATCATCAACCGCTTATCCTGCGTACAGGGTTGCGGGGGGCTGGAGCCAATCCCAGCTGACATTAGGCGAAATGCGGGGTACATCCTGGACAGGTCGCCAGTTCAATGCAGGGCAACACAGTCTCACTCCCTACTCATCAAATGTCTGATGCATGGTCAAGGCCCTTTGTCGTCTCTTTTTAAAGACTTGGGTAGCCCTTTTGCATCAATTATTGACGTTTAGGGATCCACAGTCAAGTTAGCAACGCTTAGCAACAATAAATATGCAATATCCGGTTACACTTTCAAGATAAAACGTAACGTTTCGATACATTGCCATGTTGAAACGCGCATAATTAAAGTCGTGAAACGTTGCAGTTTCGTTTAGGTTTAGGCACAGAAAGTACTTGGTTGGGTTTAGGCAACAAAACTACTTGGTTAAGGTTAGGAAAACATCATGGTTTGGGTTAAAATAGCTATGTATGTCAATTAAGACTTAAGTTAACTAACGTTAATGTCAATTTACCTCACTCGCCTAAATAAAAACATTTAATGTTTTGTTTCGCACGGGACACAAACCCTGTTCTCCTGCTTCAAGGTTCTGGCGCTCTATCCACCCCAATCACCTCCTTACTTCGTCTTTTCTCTTAAATATCATACTTGCCTTTACCATCAAAAACTGACACAACAGGGCTTCCCTCAATACGTCGAACTATGACGTCAAAGGGATCGCTAGTGCGTCACAAACTGACGACTATGGCTCTTGACAAAGCGTCCATATGTGACGACTTGGGAGTGAGACCGGGTTGTGCAGGGCCACACATAGACAGACAACCACTCACGCCTAAGGACAATTTAGGGTGTGGTGTCCAAACAAAAATGCTGCGATGATGTGTTGAGAAGAAATCCGCTTGACACTGTTCTTGATCATAAACGTTTATTACATCAAGGAGGTCAGCATCAATTACAAGTTCTGCAGCAGCTTGGAGAGTGACCCAGCCCGATGACCACTCAGTCTTTCTGTACATCAAACATAGCTTATATAGGACATGTTTTTATGTATCTGTTAGACACCATATAAGGGTTTGAGTCTGCAAAATAAAGCTCCAACCCATAGAAGGGTACAGAACTATTCTGAGGTAACAAAATAAGGCGTAAGAGGTCAAATTCTATAGAAGGTTTAAGTCCCTACATAACCACCAATCACTACTCTCCCCTTAGGAGGTCACTGACACTCTGTCCTGCTGCTTCTGTGCCATTTTAAACTGTTATGAGTCAAATGCACATATATTGTACACTACAAGGGACACCAATCAATCTAGGCCGCATGTCTTTGGACGGTGGGAGGAAGCCGGAGCACCCAGAGAGAAACCACGCAGACACGGGGAGAACATGCAAACTCCACACAGAAAAGCAGGGGTAACCGGGGTTTGAACCCACCTTCTTGCTGTGAGACGACAGTGCTAACCACTGCACCACCTGTTTGTTATTATAAAGATAGCAATTATAAAGAGAAATAATAGGCCCCTATGGGTGAAATAATGGATTAGCACAGGCAGGTACCAGGGATTGTCTGAGCTACAGAGAGAGCTGGAGGTGAGCAAAAAGTGTTTTGCAGAGAAAAAGTAGCTGCCTGCTCTCATTGGCTGGATGTGAATATAGAGTCAGCTGACTCCTCCAGATATTTGGCATGCTAGATATCTGGCATTAGTCGGCGATGTGTCAGGAAGCCGTTTTGATGACCCAACGCTGATTTACTCTCGAGCCCGACGGTCGCCAAGCTCACCAAGCGGCAAATAGGGCTAAAAATCATGTAGTGTGAACTAGGCTTAAGATCCAAACACAATGCCAGCCAGACTACGTCCAGATGCTCCGGCAGATCCCGTCACATTCTGACACCCACACCTTCCACTGTGAAGGGAGCCTTCAAGGCATATTTATATTCTAAAAATATATTTTTAAAAATCATAGTTTCTAATTTTATTTTTATTTATGTTGGTTTTGTGTTGTAGAAGGGGTGGCTGTCATGCACCCATATCCTGCTGAAGTGCACACACAGCTTGTATTATGATTTGATTATTTGTAAGGAGGATTTGGATTTTTCTTAAGAAATGAGCGGTTTGTTTTGGTGATAACTCTCATCCTACATGGCTTCCCCCGGTACGTTGAACTATGACGCCAAGGGGCTTCCCAGTGCATTACAAACTGACACTGCCAAGGGACCTTGCCTATGCATCCATATGTGACAACTTGGGAGTGAGAACGAATTGGAGGGTCATGCATTTTCCCCCAGTCACTCAGGGAGGAGCAAGGAAAAAAATGTATAGCTTTGGGGAGGGTTAAGATTTTAAAAAATCACACACCCCCATCCCCCACTGCACCTGATAAATAAACAACAGTCCTTTAGAGAAATGGACAAAGAGTTGTGCAAATTCATCAAGCAATAAGATATACAAACGTTGTAAACCAGTTGGACACCATCCGAGCGCAACATGTAAGAGACTTTTTGCAAAACTGATCACTTCAAATTACATTTGAGACATAGAAGCAAACAGCTGGTCACAGTGAAGAGAAGAAGATTTGATAATGAATGCAATTTGCGACTAAACCTCCATCTGCACACAAGGTTTGTAACAGTGTGCATAAAAACACTCATGCAAGTATTTTCCATCAAGTTAAAAACCTCAGGACTAGCTAAACTATTTCTAAGATAGAGCCCAAGAGTTTCACATCACTAATTTATGAAACGTGGGACATTCACAATTGAGTTTCAGAATAACTACACTGAGCTGGAAAAGCATTTTACAAGGTAAAAAATGAATGTGAGGGAATATTGTACAGTGTGTGTTACTCACCGGTCACATGTGGACTTGTCGTAGTCGAAGAGTTTTTGTCATTGGTGGTGTTGGATCCAGCTGAAAAGTTCAATAACAAAAAACGTATTTTCAGCATCATTAGACTAGTATATGTTTGCAAGGCTAATACACATATTGTTTCAGCCAGTTTTCCCCCAATGCTAAACAGATGTTGTGGATCAAAATGCTTATATATTACTTATAATATAAATACTTACGTAGAGCTTGAAAGTAAAACATTTAAATGTTATATTTTAACATTGACATACTTCTTACAGCTTCAAAAGATAGAAATATCATTATTTTAAGAAGATTCAGTAAAGTATTGCACTGTACCTGTCACAGAGAACAGCAGAGGGGCCCAGATGAGCACAAACATCCTAATTCACTGATTGAGAGAGTCAGTCTCTTTATCCAAAAGACAAAATTTAACCTTTCAGAAGTGCAAACATTTCATGTAGCAAGTGCAACAATCATACAGGGTGTTCATTTAATGAAACTGACTCCTTCACGGCTGACAGCAAATATTTAAATACAGGATGTTGCATGTTCACCTTCTCTGTTGTCACATTAATAAACGTTCCTAAAATCTTTGTCAAGTTTTTGAAGTCTCCTGGAATGCTTAATTTCAAAGAGTTTTGTGATATTTGTTCCAGAAAGCTGCTAAATAACTTACATTATCTACAGTAAAATATCTGTAGCAGCTCAGAAACAGCTCTGAAATAAATACCTACAATCCCCGAAACCCCAGACATTCAGACTGCATGCACAATTAAAAAGCATTTTATGACATTAGGGAAGAATTACTTCTACAGTTTTCATTTACATTTTAAAAGATTTTGAAAACAAGGTAAATGTTATGTTTTACCTGTGTTTTGTCCCTTGTTCTCCTGTGCTATTGTGTCTCAGTGATGTCTGCTGTGTGTCTCTGTTCTAAACTGACTCTTCCTCTCTTTTTCTTCTTCTTCCCTTTTTGCACTACAAGTTTCCAGGAAGTTTCTCTACACGCTGTTTGTTGTTGTTACTCTGCTAAACTACAATATCATGTAATGTCTTAAGTTGGAAATGTGCATCATCATCTTCATGACTGTATATGTGTTTAAAAATATCTTGTCACTTTGATAAAATTCTAACTATTCTGTCTACCAAGTATCCTAAATATGAATGCATAATTCATTATATGCATAGTGGTATAGTGGGATGTGCATGAATGTGAATGGTCTGAAATACAGGTTAATATCTGCAGTACCAGTTAAATAATAATGGTCAATTGTCAAAGACAGTCATTAGCTTAATCACTAGTTTATACATGAGAAAGATAACTGCTGTCATTGATTAAGTGCAGATTTATAAAGAAAGTATTTGTATTCATCACAGTTCTTAAGTACAGTTACATGCAGCCTCTTAAAAAGAACCTCTGTACTTATCGCCATATGGTTTTATGATTTGTGCATCTTTAAGTTGCATTCTCAGAAATGGCCCTTGAGTGATTCTTCATTTAAACATTGTCTCATATAGCGTTAATGTATTCTCTCTAATAACTTCCTGTTCACACATAAAGGTGTTTTTAGCTATGAACTGGGCTATTATTACATATTTAACATTCACTACAGAACCTGTCAACATTGCACAATGAACCAGAGGTAAGAAAAGTTTTGTTTTAAGTGACAACTCATGTATTGTCTGTTAAAAAACAACCTGTGCCAGACTGCTCACTCTGAGTAATGAGTCAGGTTGATTCCTGCAACACATTAAAAAAGGGAAGTAATCTATGACATGTTAAACAAGAACACAATCAAAAGAGCTGTAGAAACAAATCAGGCCAATCAGTTTGAAACAACTTAAAAAGCTAAAACAACTCAAGCACGGTGTACTGATCTGTAATTTGTTATTTATCGATTCTTTTTTATTTAATATACAGATGAATACCAACATAAATTCACACTTGTTTAACGTACATAAAAACTGGTAAATTGCAATTGTTCCTTCCGTTCATACTGTATCTGTATGGATCCTATTGTCATGCATTTCCACTATAAGATATGAGGGACAAACTCTACAGTCGTCATGGTGTCAAAAGATACATCCCAAAGTTCAGTTTGCAATAATAATAGGCTTCAGCAGTCTGAGTTAGGTAACTGCTAATCAGCAAGAAAACAATGTCCATAGAAACACAAGGAGAGAGTTTCGTGCTACAGAAACTAACTTTGCAAGACACTTGATTTGTCTCTACTCAGTTCTGCCAAAGCCTCATAATATGTGTGGTTGTCCTCCATCTCTAACACTGTACTTTTGTGCATGTGAAAATTGCACTGAGAAGTTAAAAAAAGTGTCAACCTATCCTTTGAATTTGTTTGCTGCAGACTGCAAACTGAAGCAAGACAAATCATACAGCCACCCTCTCAGGGAAACTACAGCTGTGCTTCAAGCTAAAATGCTAACATTAGCCTGCTAACATGCTCACAATAACATACTGATGTTAACCATGTGAAATGTTACTATGTTCACAATCTTGGAAGTATTTGGCCATAAACTGTTGGAAAAATACAAATTTTTATCTGTGGTGCAAGATAAAAAGTTACAGGATCACCAAAGTTATTACATCAACACAAATGTCACCCTCACAGTGGAGTAGGAGGAAAGTCCTCTGGAATGGGAACCATATTTTTAAATGTCATCAAATAGTTGTTGCTATATTTAGTCTGGACCAAAGAGGTGGGCCAACATTTATTACCCACAACAAATAACCACTCCACCGCACCACAAGAGCACATACTTATTTGTTCTGCTTAAAAACTCCCCCACAAAAGTACACATCACCTCTCAGAGCAGAGAGGACAGAGGTGGTTGCCCCTGCACACCACTGGCACTGTAAGCCTTTTCACGGATGTGGTAACATTTATCTGGAAGGTTTATGAAAAGTGAACACATAGAAGCAAAATAACATTTGGATAAAATGGAAATTCTGTCCAACTTTCAGTCCACCCTCATTTGAATGAATAGATTTGAACAGCCCCTAACATGTAGACAGTGTGAAGTCTCTCTCTCACTTCAGATTCTCACAGACTGAATTTAGCATTCGAAGATCACAGCTTGTGGTAGAAACAGTTCACAAGACTGCCATTCATTCACCAGAATAACAATCCATGAGTCCATTACTTCAATCCGTTACATCTGATGAGAGCAAAGAAACATTACTCCACAATCCAACAGTCTTTAAATCTCACCCATTATATCCTTCACGTTGGAGTACACCGCCACGTCCTCGTCTTCTGAGACACAATGTTTTGACTCCTCATCCTCCACTATCATCGCCTCCTCCTCTTTTTCCTCAAATAATTCACCTTCCTCTCTGTCGTCGTCTTCTCTGTCCTCTTTTACTTGCTTCTTAATTTCAGCGTATTCTGTCTCGGTGGTCTCTTGCTTCTTTGTTGCCTCCCTGGGACTCTTTCTTTTCAACACAGAGAAATTAATGCTGGCGTACTCCACATCTTTTGCTCCACCATCAAGATCAGGGGCTGCTTTTTCTGCTGTTACATCTTCTCCTACTTCAGCTGCCTCTTGGTAGTAGGTCAGGTCATCTTCCAGTGCTTGACAAGGATCTATCTGTGAGGTACAATGGAAATGATATGACTCATTCCGCAGCTGCTACAAGCACCAAAACTGTGAGTAATAAACTGGGAGACTGTGGTATATGTAAAGTACTGCCAACCATTTTCATGAAGTCATTACATAAATCTTGTAATGTTTGGGTATTGGTTGTTTCTATACTCTTTAAAACATTTTTGAAACACTGTTATCCATCATCATGTGTTTCTACTTTTATTATAGTAAGTTTACAGTTACATGTAAGTGGAAATTCAGTGCAGTCTTTTTACATCAGTTTGTACATACAACTGCACTGCAGAGGAACAAAAGGGGACCTGACTATTAAAGCAGGCAGGGTGTTGACTTTGAAAGGATATACCATATCTCAAGTTTGCAAGGCTGCAAGTGTTAACAAGTTGTACTTCATGCTGTAGGGAAATTAATTGAGTTGAGGCAGAGCACACAAGTTGTGCTTGTTTGAGTTGCCTGGCAATGGTTGCTTCATTCATGCTTCACCATAAGCTGCTTAGCCACGAGATGACTAGGAATGGCCTGAATGTGCAGAATCTTTTCTGCTAAATCTAACTGTATCATTCTTTGCTATTCATGGTCAATTAATCAAATAACGTATGTATGACAGCCACATTCACACATCTACTGTATAACACAACATTTAATATCGGGGGAAATACTGAAAAAAAGTAAATGAATTTAAATATAAATACCAAAGGATCCTCTTGACTAGTCACCATCTGCAGAGTCTCATCCAGATTTACAGAGCTCAGTTTCTTTCTGGGTAGAAAACAAACAAATAAACTATTTAAATGAATATAAGATTATCCACAAATAAAACCAGGGGATAATTATAGATTATCTGGTGTACCTTTGGCATTTCTTTGCCAAAGAGCAAAGGGCTGCTGAAAAGAGTACCCCAATCAAAAAGGCAATGACGATTTTCAGCCATGAAACCATTTTTAAGAGTTTGCTGGATTGATCTGCAATCAAGAGCAACAAAATAAATCTTGGTGTCCATCTTGTTCAACAATAATATATTTGCAATAGCTTATTTCTTGTGGGACAAAGGTCACAGTAATTAGTGAGAGGAAAGGCAATGGTCTGCAATAGCAGAAGTGTTTTAGTTGAGGAAACGTACCCTCTTGTTCGGATGCGTTTATTCGGATGGTGAAGTTCTCTTTTGCCTCTCTGCTTGCCTCATTGCTGCTGACACACTGAACAACAGTGCTGTTGTGGTCATTTGCTTTTAGGGTGATGGTGCTGTTGACTGTGTGTTTGGACACAGTGGTAATAACAGAGTATTCAGTGTGGTCCTTCAACAGCGGCCATTTAATGGTGGGTAAAGGAAACCCTTTCACTGATACACATACAGGTCAGAACCTCTGACTGATTTCTGCATCCAGAGCTGTTCAGGATCTTTGGAAACACTGCAAAAAGCAGAATCACAACATCAAACAAAGCGCACAGGAAGCTGACACACACACATCAGGACCTCCAAATTAAATAAATCCGGTTAATAGTGTAAAATGTGAACATACACTTCCTTTTCAAGAAGATTAGTACAGCCTACTTACAAGTCACAGTTATATCAGCATTTACAGTCAGAGTCGTGTCCAGGTGTTTTGCTGTACAGATGTACTGTCCAGAATGTTCTACAGTCACATTATGAATGACAAGTGTGGCTGATCCAGTGTCGTTCTGCAGGCCAGTCTCAGGTCCATTACGCAGGTGTGTGTTGGAACCAAGAACAGTCCATGTGATATGAGATAGAGGGAAACTTTCAACACTGCAGGTCAGATCCAGAGCATCTCCCTCCTTAACAATCATATTCCCAGTGATTGCAGGCTTTTTCATATCTGTGAAGAAAATATTTGAAGAGAAGATAGAAAACACATTTCTTTGCTTGTTTTTTACTTACACAAGCACACACACAGTTTGTCAAATGTATACATACACACAATTATAACTAGTCCTGTAGTGCAACTTGAAAAGACTTTCTTCAGGCACTATAGTGATTTTCTTACCCACTGAAATAGGAAAAGTCAGCTATAGTGTATGTGCTACCAGTAATACTTAATAGTTAAATGGGTATGACTCCAAATGCATATGCATAAACTGCCCCTAAAAATATACACGTATGATATACAGTATATACTTAATGAGATATATATCCTTTTACACATTGTAAATTAAGTAAATGATCTTGTGATGGCATTCATGCATGGTCGCAGTGTTTTTTAATATACTACCACTGGAAGGCGCCAAAGTCTCAACATGTTCGAGCTCTACACAGTGGTTTTCACAGACAAGTTTTTATTATTCCAAACACGTGGCTACAGTGAGGACAACCTGGAAGCCTTCACAATGCCTCCAAGGGCTTTTCTTATTTACATTAGAAACTAAGGCAATAGTCAAAAATGAAATCATCTCAGTTTCAGTTAACTAGAAGAGGAAATACTACATGAAATGTACTTACACATCACTGTTACATCAACGTTTTGGATCAGGTGTTGTTCAGATGTTTGGCTGTGCAGGTGTACTGTCCTGAATCTTCTGCTGTCATGTTAGCGATGGAAAAAGTTCCTATTCCACTTTCTTCCTGCAGGTAGGTTTCAGTGTCGTTCTGCTGAGTAGTTTCTGTTCCATTTTGCTTGTATTTGTCAGAATATATAGTCCATGTGATTAGAGATGGAGGGAAACTTTCAACAGTGCAGGTCAGATTCAGAGTCTCACCCTCCTTCACACGTGTTTTCCCAGTGATTTTAACTTCCTTCACATCTATGAGACAAAGTGATATATGATATTATTTACAATGTTATATAGCACCTCTAAATTCCCAACTTTCCTGTAAGACTGGATTTATAAAATTGAACACAGCTCAGAAAACCATCAGAAGTGACATGAGAGAACATCTCTTAACAAATACTTTAGATGAAAGGTAAAGGTGATAACAGACAGTAGGTGCTACTCACAGGTCACATTCAGAGTCACTGTCTCCTCTGTAGTGATGTTGTTTGTGAACCTGACCCTGCAGGTGACATTGGTGCCGTGGTGTTCAGCTGAAGAGTTAAACATCAAAGTTGAGCTGTGTCTTTGTGTGACAGCAGTCTCAGTCTTGAAAGCAGTGATGTTTCCTGTGATGTGAGAGTCGTTCTGTCCTGGTCCTCTCCACAGCCAGGTGATTTCAGGATCAGATCCAGAGCAGAGACCAGGAGCAGTGCAGGTCAGTGTGGTCTGCTGTCCCTCTGTTAGTGGAGGAATCATAACTGTGGGCGTCTGGATCAGATCTAATGGGAGAGCAGTCCATGAGTGGAATCAGGTGAGCAGCATGATCATCATTCACTAACATTTGGTCCAAAACAATCAGATACTTTGTTGAACATTTCAATGGGCAACAACATTATTTATGCTCCATTAAGACTGCAAATATAACAAATATGTTGGTGCAATGAAAATCTTCACTGTATATTTTTGTTGTAGCTACATACCTTTAACAGAGACAGTTGCTCTTGGAGAGAATGTAAATCCATCTGCCCTCTCATACCAGGCGACAGCAGTAACTCTGAGCTGATATGATCCAGAGTCTGACTCAGTGAGGTCACTGATGATGATGCTGCAGTTCTTCTGACTCACGTCAGGCTCCAATAGTGACACTCGTCCTTTAAACCCAGACTGAACTTTTCTGTTGTTCTTGTTAGTGTGGAATATCATGTCTGAATCACACATCTTGGTTTAGATTGTTCGCATTTGTACCAAATTATATTTTGGGGTGTGAAGTCATAACTAGTGGTGAAAGAACACGGTATCACAACACAGAGTCCAGCCTCTGCTGTTGTTTCTCCTTCATTAAGAGTGATACAGAAATCACTTTGACAGCGTGTTCTTTTCTCCACTGATGCTCCTGTTAATGCAAACAGTGAGAGAAAAACAGTGATAACGGATATTTACATTTTATTGATCCCAGAGGAAAAATAATTTTGTAACAATTCTCACTTTGCATGTCAGGATATTAAGATATATAAATAATAATAGAAAGTAGGTAAGTAGAAAATATAACAAAAACAAATATGAAATATAAAGGAGTGTGGATATATACAGTACTTTACAGTATTATCAGAAATGTAATGATAAATAGTATTAGTGAATAAGATAGTAATAATGTGTGCAGATACATATTTTGTTTTTGTTTAATATAACTGCTGTTGTCAGCAGCATTGAGCAAACATTACATGGGAATTTCAGCATTTAATATATTTCTTTATCCCTAATAATGTTATTCAAAGTTTCCAAGTAAGTCAATAAATGCTGTGAGCTGGTAAATTCAGGGTGGAAAAACTAAATAGTTGTAATTTGGAAGAGCATGTCAGGTAAACATTTACAGGCAAAATTATTGCTAACATTGTTATTCATATGAAACAAGAAAGGTAGTAAAGTAAGACCAGTGTGTGGTAGTTTGTTTTTTGATTTTTCATCGTTATTCATATCTTTAAAGTTGGCATCACAACAAGATTTAATAAAAATGTATACCTGTGTCTGCATTGCTGCCTCTTACAGAGAAAATCAAAGTCGCCCAGATGAGAACAAACATCCCGATTTGATGTGCTCACTCCACAGGAAAATTACACTGAAAGTGCAGTAAACATGCAGAGACTGAACCAAAGGAAACTCCACAGCTGACATCTGAGATCTTAATACAGGATATTGCATGTATTCCGTAGTTGCGAGATAGATACTTACCCAAGCATGTTACTAACCCTTTTTTCATTTGTAAAAGGGACCTTATGACATCTGTTCTCAAATGGTCTTTTATACTGTAACTTTACTTACTACAATAATCTCTACAACAACTGTAGCTTTGGGCTCCCTGAATCATTTACTAAAGCACTCTATAGGACAGTCCACCCCTACTACCAGAAAATTCACAAACGTCAAAAAAAGCAATATATATTATTTTGAAATTAGTTAGGGAAGAATTAATCACTTCAGCAAATTCCATTTGCAGTCCAAAAACACATTTTAAAACAAAAACTTTTGGACTCGTTCTCCGGCTCTGAACTGACCCTTCCTCTCCTCTCATTTCTGTTTTTTTCCTTTTTGTGCAACAACAAGGTTTCAGGAAGTCCCCAGTTCTCCACTACTGAGACTGGCAGGCTTTTACACACTTATAGTCTCATAATTTCACATTATGTGTAACATAACTAATTACACATTTAAACCTTTATTGAATAATAAAGAGAAAATGTTTTTGTTTGCTCTTTTATCCTCTCAATGACTGAAGTAATGCAAAATGTTTTGAAAAGGGAAGTACTGTAAATGTGTGATTTTTGTCATCTTGAGAAACCGACAAACCAGCAGAAGCAGTGAACACTTCTCCTAAAGTGTATTTTTATACAATGTGTGTTTTGCAGTGTTACTAGTGAACAACTGGATGTCATTGCTTACTCTTAAATAAATCGCTTCTGCAATCCACAACTCACACTGCACACATGCTTCACTGTTAAGTGTCTGTATTACCTACTATTCAATTCAATTCAAATAACTTTATTTATCAGAGAGGAGCTTCATTGTGCAAAGCATCACACGAGCAGCCTCTTTGAATTGGAAGCATTTTATGGTTTGTTATGCAATATCTGTAGATACTGTCTCCAGCAAAGACACTGAAGTGTTTATTCATTTAAATATTGTACAACATTGTTTCTCAGTATCTCTGATAACTATCTGTTTTAAAAGGTGCCATATTCAGACTATTTTTAGCAAAGAACTGGCTACACTTTTGTCTCAATACTTTACTGGTCAAAAATCTAATTTTGTTTACATAGCCCAATGTCACGGCTTTACAGCAAATGACACCCTCTATTCTTAAACCGTACCTACATATTGACCACTTATAGCAGAACCTGTAGAAATGGCTGAGTTACTAGAGGTTAAAAAAGGTTGACTGCAAATCTGCTTAGTCTGCATATTTATAAACATCATAACAATCAACTGGGAAATCTTACATTAAAAAGAGAATCTTAAAAATCACATATCCAGACTTTTTGAGAAATCTACAAAAGAACTCCAGCTCCTCCAGTGGAGCTTTTCTCTGCCAATGATATTTCTGCTGGAAATCTGCCTTAGGTGCGAACAGGGATGACCTAGGACCAACAAAAGCAGCGCTGGAGTTTGACAGCCAAAAACAGCCAAAAACATTTTAACATTCAAATACTAGATGGTCTCTGACAGGGTTGTCAAGTTCCTGATTTTACATAAAGAATTTGCTTTCAAATATAAGATGAAGCCGACAAAAAGGTTAAATGCGTATATTCAAACTGAGAGTACAGGGAAAATATTTTATTACTAGCAGTGACATGGTGTAGTACTGGTACTGCTAGCAAACATTTTTATTTTATTTTAAGTACTGACAACCTAGATATTAAGACCATTGCCTAGGATGAAATTTAAACAATACACTACATTTAATGGTTTAAATCAAACTGAAATCTCACACAGCTGAAGATGTGACCAATTAACTGCCAAATGTGAGAACTTAGTACATTTACTCAGGCATTTATAGAAAATGAATGATGGTATAAAAGCTTCAACAACTATTTTTGTCCAAAATGTATTTATTCCAGTGCAAAAAATCCTTCAGGGACGCTGTCTGAAAACCATCCCTGAAGACTGTAAAGACATGGTGAAAGCTGATTTGTCACTTCAAAGGATGTCCAATAACACCATACTCTGGTGATCTGTCTGTTTTCTGCAGGGACTTCTAAGTTCTGTCCACTTGACTTGGTTTCACTTTTTTTCTTGCTTTCCTTTGGAGAAAAATATAGAATGAGTCATGATCTGTTGCCTAAAAGTCTCCAGTGCATCAACATACCATTTAAACATAACATGCAGATGGAGTAACATACCAAAGGAACATCACGTAGATTCTGTAGAAGACACTTCCACTATACCAGCAACGGCCTGGGAAGCACTTCAGATCTGCAATGTTGCACAGGACCTACAGTAAGAAATGACATAATGTAGATTGTATAACTGTTCTAGTATTATCATTATGCTGTACATGTTTCGGCCACTTTTTATTAGCCATATAGACCCAGTGAGTGAGTCACCTTTAAATTTTGTATTGTCAAATAATGTGCATGAAAAGGCCAGAGAACTAGCCCAAGATCTCAGAATCATTTTTTAAATCTCTGAAAAACAAAAAACAAAATCTTGCCTTAAGTCCTGTAGTCATTTAATTAAATGTAAATTGCACAAACTTACAGGAGGGAGTAGCCAACACAATATCCACACAGAAGTACAGCTTGTAAAGGTAATAGTGGTACAGACTGAAATGAATAATAGTACAGATATTTATAGTAGTGTTAATAATATTAATAACAATAATAATAACAAAAGGACTAGTAATAATAATTGTAGCAGTAGGTGTTGAGCAGGAACACGGGGGCAGCAGGTCGCTCTCAACTACAGATCCAGACTCCACAGCTCCAGAGCCAGAAACACCTGCAGAAAGTGACGAGAAAGCACAAGACTACGGGAAAGGGAAGAAGTCCAGTTAGTAACCTGCATTAACAGGATGAGGTTGCATAGAGAGGGAGAGAAAGAGGAGGAGAGAGGAGCTCAGTGCATCAGAGGAAATTCCCCGGCAGTCTAGGTCTATAGCAGCATAACTAAGGGATGGTTCAGGACTCACCTGAGCCAGCCCTAACTAACGAGACACTGCGTCGGTGACGACACTATGGGAACGCCTCTGGGCGTGGCAGGGCTGAACTATGAATGAAACTACTCCAATCCTATTGGTGTTGCTAGAACGGTAGCGTGTGACGGCGTAACCGGAGGGGTATATAAGCACGCCGGCACACAGGACACATTAGCCCTTTTCTATGAAGCAAGGCACTCCAAGCGGGGTGAGGTGTGGCGGACCGACGCAGTGTCTCACTCCCCTTCTCGGGGAACAAGGGTTACGTATGTAACCCGAGACGTTCCCCTTCGAGGGAACTCGAACTGCCCCCAACTGCATCACACAAATCCTGGAGTGACGCCCCTGCGAGGAGGGCCCTAGAAGCCACCATGCCTCGAGTAGAGTGTGCCCTTACGGCCATAGGTGAAGGCAAACCGCGCACCTGATAGGTGCTGATGGTGTGTTTAGCGGGGAGCCAGCACCAGCAACTGGTCTGCTTTCCTCCAACGGGAAGACCTCAGAGTATAAATACTCAGTGCTCTGACAGGGCAGAGCAGATGAAGTCTTCCGTCCTCCGCCGTCACATGAGGTGGGGGATGAAACGCCTGCAGGACCTTGGGGACATAACCTGGACAAGGGTGCAGGATGGCCCTGACCCTCCCCGGGGCAAACTCCAGGTATCGGGGAGAAATCGAAAGTGCCTGGAGATCCCCCACCCTCCTCAGAGAGGTGATAGCGAGGAGAAAGGTCATCTTAAGGGTCAGGTGCTTGGCCTCAGCCGACTCCAGGGGTTCAAAGGGGGCTTCAGCCAGCACTGCCAGGTCCCGCGTGGGAACTCTGGAACGAGTCACGGGTCTCATCCTCCGGGGTCCACGGAGGAAGCGCACGACCAGTGGAAGCCTCCCCAAGGGCCCATCACTCAGAGTGGCGTGGAATGCTGCAATGGCAGCCACATTGAGCGTGGATGAGGAGAGGCCCGTGGAGAAACGATGCTGGGGGAACTCCAGTATCATAATTACCGAGCAGGTAACTGGGTCCACTGCCAGTTCTCTGCACCAGGTGGTGAACACATTCCACTTTAGCCGTACAGGGTGAAAGATCCAGCCCTCCGCATGGGACAGCAGGTCTCTCCTCAGAGGGACTGCTTCCTCCACCCGAGGCATTGTTCCAAAGCTGTGCTTAGTTTCTGTCACGCTGCTGTAGTCCAGCAGAGGGGACGCAGTCAGCCGTGCAGAACAGCGGCCTGTTCCATGATTTACGCAACTCATTGTGAAAATCAGGAAAGAATGGCGAGGATCGACACGGGGGTGGCGATTGGGCTGCAGAAAAGCTCATTGAGGTTACTGCCGGCCCGCGGCTCCTGCCCCGCCTCTCATAGCTGGGCGCGGACTGATGACGTCGGCCCGGCTCCCGGAAGTCATCCTCCATGATGCTAAGCACGTCTAGCTCCTCAGAATCAGACTGTGCAAGCCTCTCCAAACTCATACCTCGGACGGGAGAAGCCGAGAAACGGGGGGGGGGGCGGAGTCAGCAGTTGAGGAACGGAAAAAGGCCTCAGCCGTCCCGATGCCTTCAGAGATATCACGCTGCGATCCCCTGACCGTAACCGCCGCAACGCCTCAGCAACTGCGGGGCCGGAGCCACGGGGAGAGCGCATCCGACCGTCTTCCAAAAGCTGTACGAGACCTCAGCACCCTCAGGGACCGGGCCTCGCCATGGCCGCAGGCAGCCCCCTCGAGAGCTGCCTGGACGTGCGACATCCCCAGAAAAGAAACACACATCTCATGAGTCTCCCCAGCCGCGATATAGCGTGGGCATGGAAAAACACATTGTCGGAACTGATTACCAGACATGGTCTCTACTGCAACACCAATAGGATTGGAGTAGTTTCATTCATAGTTCAGTCCTGCCACGCCCAGAGGCGTTCCCATAGTGTCGTCACCGACGCAGTTCGAGTTCCCTCGAAGGGGAACGCAACTCAACTTTTACTTTGTATTTATCAACAGAGCCAT